CATACTAGAGTATTCCCCAGACCCCGTTGTAATTATTCGGCCCTTGCACTACCAGACCCCTCAACCCTGACAAGCTCCCTAAACCCCTAAACTCCCCAAGCCCTTGAAACCCCAATTCAACTGGCCCCCTAGAATTGCATACGCCGAGTGCCCCTAAAACACCCCAACCCTAAACCCTTAACTACCACCCTTCAAACATCCCCGCACCCCTAGTTTCTAAACTTTACAACCCCAAGAAAATACCTTCAACCCAAGAAACCTACACCCCTTAAAAACCCTCAACCTAAACCCTAAACCATATAAACTCTATAAACCCTATAAACCCTATAAACCCTAAACCCTTAACCTCTTGATTCCAAGGAAGCTCCGCGCCTCGGCAGCCTTAAGGTCGAAGTGCTCCTTGCCCCCGGCCCTGAGCTCGTAGTAATCCTTCCTGCCAAGAGGTGACTCTTCTTTGGGGTTTAGGGTTTAGGGTTGGCTATACGGACATACACAAGCAACTAAAGAGATACACAGATGTACGTGTATATACTTACATATATATATATGTAGGGTTTTGGGGCTTGGTGATCTATAAGGTTTAGAATAGGGGCGCATTGGGGTCTAAGGACATGTATGATTGAGGGTCAAGGTGGTGTTTCAGGTTATGGGGATACTTTTGGGTGAACGGGATATGTAGGCCTCGGAGTAATCCAGAAATCTAGCATTTGGGGTTCAGAGAAGGTTGACGGTTAAGAATTTAGGAAGGTAGTAATCCTTCCTGTCAATAGGTTTTAGGACAAGACTCTTGAAGTTGGACCAATGGGTGTGCAAATAATATATAGGGGTTATATTGGGATAATGGAAAAGAAAATAGAAACTACTATAATATAGGGATTATATAGGGTTTATATACCTTACAGCGGGAACCGAGGGACCCTTGGTAGAATATATGGGTTGTATTGGCGGCATCAAGGGAGTATATTGCCTAGACGTACATGGCGATGTTTGCCAATACCATACGTATAGGTCTACCATAACCAAGGAATCTCGCACATTTGGGGAATCCACAAATCATGCCTGGATGCATCTGCCTCGGACTAACAGCTCTCGCGGCCCAGCATCAGGAAACCTGTGACCCTGAGCCACAGCCATAGAGCTCGCAAATACACGTGAGTGTAAAAATAGTTCCTGTGTAGGGCATCCTCTGTCACACCAGTTGTGGACCCATGATCTAAAATGCTCCCCACATGGCCTCAAATCAGGATCCTTTCCAAAGAGCCCCACAAGAGAGGCGTTTCAACAGGCCTTCCAAAACCCAAACCCTGAACCACGAAAAGAAAGTCCTTTCGTAGATCTACAGCGGAACTCATGACCCACAAGAATATGAATGATCCCTCATGAGTGTCCAGAGAATCTATACCCTGAATCCCGGGGCCTGGTCTGCGCCACTGGAGCAATGTCCGCAACAATCGGGGATGGGGAACGCGCTGCCCTTGGTGAGGGCGACCTGACTCTAAGGCAGCCATACATGTTCAGGGCTCATAAGCTTTGGGGTTTAAGGTTTCGGGTTAAAGGTTTATGGTTTGCTGTACTGTGGTGCTGAAGCAGAGCTGCTCAGGCCACAGTCGCTTCAAGCACGTCGTGCTGTTCTGCATGCTGCCCTGGCCGAGTAGTTGCTGGCCAAACACCTTCACCCACCCCGCGCCACCTCAGGCGGCCGAGCCACTCAAATCTGTTCCTCATGGGGTTTCGGACGTAGACCCAATCGGTTACATGCATGTTCCCGGCAAGCCCATGGAAGGCCCTTGATCAACTTGAGGAAGGTCCCGGGCCCTGGAAGGCGCAGATGAGACTTTCCCAAGTTGAGGGGACCTCCATACTTCCTTAGGGCCATAGGGTCCCTTACAGCACTATACTTGCCGAGAAAGACCAACAGGAATGCGGGGAGTAACTTCACAGTTGCTTGTTAATTACTCAAGTCTATACACCTCCAAGTCCAATTGCCTGACATATGAGGGTTTCTCGAAACCAGATTGGCCAATGAGGGACCCTGCTGGGGATATGGGGATAAAAACAGGGAACGTGGGGGTCCCTCTTCTGCGTTCTATTGTGGTAATCTTGATATTACTACGGACGCGGCCTCAACTTCCATTGCCTTAGCAATACAATGTTCTTGGGAAAGTACCTGGGTACCTAGTCTCTACTTCTGATTATCATACGTGATCCCTCACTGCCTGCCCAAAGCTGCGTGTCAGCAAAAGAACCTGCTGCAAGTATCTCCAGAACCTCGAGCCCTAAATTGATCTACATAGCCAATCCCCAGGAATGTGTATTACAAAATACCAGCGCTATCCAAAATAGTAACTATTGGGCACCATAGGATCTTACCTAGATTTACCTGAGGTTTCGCTGCCGAGCCGAAAGCTACCAAGATATTGCCCGGATGAGACTTTCAAGGGCCTCCAATTTGTGAATAGCGTACCTTTTACAACAAGAATGGAAAGGAACTGTTTTCCCAAAGTGCCACCTGAATAGGGCACCCAAGCATTGGACCTGCAATCTCGAGGCATCCCTACCACCTCGTCCCCCAGTGCCGCCAGTCATGAACTTGAAGGATGGAGATGGGTGGGATGAGGGAAACATGGCCCTACTTGAAGGGTCATGGGTTGGCTATCATGATGCTAGAAGTGCAACTACAATCAACTTCGCCATCCCTACCTTCAACCTCCCAAGCACCTGTGGGATCTGCAGCACGGATACTTCCACCCTATAGTCCCCCTTAAGTAGATAGAATATGGCTTTGGGTATATTATAATCAGACCCCCATATACCCCATATTCTATCTACTTCAGGGGGACTATACCTTCATCCTACCAACCTTTCAGTCGCCTGAATGAAGATCAGGCAAGGAGCGGCGATTGCCTGGGTGATCCCGCGTCAGCCGCTCTATGTCCAACCTAGGCCCAAGTGTAGGGGCTTCAGGATCAGGGTTAAGGCTGTGGGATTTAGGGTCTAAAAGCATAGAGTGTAAGGCTTTGAGACTAAAGGCCTTACATCCTTTTCTGTGAGTCTGTCACCTTGGTCACAGGGTTGGGATTTCAATGCTGTGGCTATCTTGGGCTGGTTTCTGGAGAGGGTCAGCAAATCAAAAAATGCCTCACACAGCGGGGTAGCGGGTTGAACGCATTTCAGAACCTCAAAACCCTAAACCCTAAAGCCCAAGCAATGTACTCTAAACTGGCCTCTGCAGCTGGGAAAGATATCCGAGCCCGCCAAGCCATCCTTGAGGAGTTACCCTCAATCCACACGGCTTGGAATTTGGGCTTTAGGGCTCAAAGCTAAATCCCACACATCACCTTCTCTTTGTCATCTTTCCATGGACCCCTACAACTCTGTAGTGCCTGTTGTCTGTTTTGAACCAGCCACAAGCACCAAACTCCCTAGACCCTAAAAGGAACTTAACGGAACCCTGAGCCCAAACCATGAAACACTAAATTAGTCCGGAAGCTTGCGCTCTATCAGCCTGCAATCCTGAACCGCTAGCCCTGTAAACCCGAAACCAGCCCTTGCTTACGTGCCAAAATGCTGGACGAACGCATCTTCTTTGCGGTCTGAAGGTCTGGTGCCTTGGTTCTCTCATGGGGTTCAGGCACCTATGTATGGGAGTTTCCCAAAACTAGGGGGTACCTTTGTTGGACACCTATTATGAGGATTCTAGTATTTTTGGGTCTATATTGGGGTCCCTGTGTTTCGGGAAACTACAATATCATACCTCAGAGAGGTGAAATTTATTCTGGCAACCCCATGTGAAAGGGATAAAGGGTTTGTGGTTAAGAGCTCTGTCTTCAGGGTATTGAATGAACCATATAGGACATACTTGGGGACCAACGAGGTTTCTGTAGAGAGAGGCACCTTAATGCCAAAGTGCATGCTGTATAGGTTCCTAGACCCTGTTTTAGGACTGGCTTTAGGCCAGCAACGCAACTCAGGGTTCGGTTACAGTGCAGGCCAGGACCCTGCAAATTTGAGAGGGAGAGACTGGACATTTTGCGGGACATCTTACGTCCTGCAAGCGCTTTAGGGTTGACAAGGCTAAAGTGGGGACATGAAGCCAAAAAACAAAGCCTGGGATTACATGTTAGGGACTAACCCCAACATCTCATGGAACGCAGGGAAGGCCTCAAGGGAGATTCCTAGGAGCTCAAAAAAAATCACAGGTTCTGCTCGCAAAAAATCTTTAATTGGTAGGAACTAACCCCGGGGAGGGTATAGGCGGCACGTACGATCATAGGGCTCTTTCAGCTGCCCCGGTTCAAGCGTGAGACGCTGGCAAACCCAAGGCTCCGCAGGCCAGCAACATTGGAGTACGTACACACTACTTATTAGGTATAAGGCATACCAATGTAGCTAATTGGGGGTGCAGGTAAGCTCTAAAGTGGAGGTTGTCAGCCCTAAAGAGCCATCTAAACCTGCATACCCCCAACTGGGCTATATTCTTCTTTTCAAATCCTATATCCCAAAGCAAATCTTTTCTTACTAAAGCTTTACTTCATACGGACGGCCATGATATCCCCGAACAGAACATTACTCAAATGCCTTTGCTCTCTGATACTAAGCCCTAAGTCTCCCCAACCCCTCCACCCAGCAGCCCTCCATATACAAACTCAACCAAAAAAAGGCTAAAACCTAAAATCCAAGCTTAATCCTAGACCAAGACTCCACACCACAAGCCACAGCCCTACACGCAACAAGATCTTACACAAGAAGCCCTAAACCTGACAGAAGGGTCCAACTAGTTAATAAGCCGTAGCTAACTAGGAGCCAAAGTACCTTTACAGATTTAACGATTGACTACCTCCCGTACTTGGACAGGGATCCATTGTACTATCGTCCCCCTTAGGTAGACAGAATATGGCTTTGGGTACATCATAGTAAGATCCCCATGCACCCCATATTCTATCTACTTAAGGGGGACTATAAACCCTAAATCCTAACCCCGAAGCTCATCAGCAAGCTGCAGGGTCGGCTTCGGAGGCGATGGGCTCCGGGACGCTGCTGCACGTTGTGGCGTGGCCACTGTGGCATTCCTTGCTACTCTAGGGGGCCTATTTAATATCAATGCGGTTTGCTTGGGGACCCTATGAGGATCTAAAGGGAACACTGTTGGTTCCTTGCTAGGGGGCTTGCTTGAAGGCCATTGTTAATATTGTTGGCAACTGCCACTCCTGCTCCACAACCTGCTTCTACCCTTACTTCTTGTCTGGCTATCGCCACCGCACCTTCTGCTGCTGCTAGAGTACCACGCAAATGTCGATCTGAGAAAAGGCCAATCATCAGGGACGGTATGCACCACCATTTATTGGTTATTGGTGAGGTCTTGTAACCCTACCTGCAGCAAGATTCCGGAGGCACTCTCCAACTGTCACGAGCCACTTCTCGAACGGGTCCACCTGGAAGCACTTTGCACGCTGCCCGGGGTTACGCATCCGGGGCTAAGAAGATGTAGGACGACTACTAGTACTAATAACACTATTGATGCTTGACAACCATGGTGGCTAAGGTCCCAAAAGTAATGCCCATCCATAGTGAGCGCGTTTGAGCTCGTCATGGCTTCCCGAGCCTGCTGGGACGAGCCCTGGATTTAGGTTATATACTTGTATCCTCATAGCAACCCCAAAGTTGTTATTGTTGTTACTATTGTTACTAGTATTACTATTGCTATAACTCTTACTATTACTATCACTATATTTGATTTTGGTAATAAATGCTAGTTTCCATAGATAAGGGGACCCCAATGTAGACCCCCAAATATTAGAATCTTTAGTATATGGACCCCCCCAAAAAAAGTACCCCTAATTTTGGGGAAACCCCATCTAATTGTATCTGCATAGCAACCCCAAAATAATCCTTGAATAGTGGGTTCCCCAGCCCCTTCGCAACCTAGGGCGCCATGAGGTAGACCTTTGTCCCCCAACTCCAAACCCTGACGCTTCCTAAACCTTAAACCTGCTCAACCCCAAGCTCCCAAAACCCTGCATATCCACATTCGACCCAACCCACCTCTTCGGCGTCCTTGGTTGGTTCGGGCCCAAGCAGCTCCTGGCCAGGATAAAAATCTTCAGGTCTGGGCTCCTTCTGAGCCTGGCTATGGATACAGGGTATATAGGACTTGTGTAGGGGCTATATTATACATAACTAGAGATTATCTAGGGATTATATCAGGTATGAAAGGTTTAGGCTAGCAATTCTGGAGAACTGAATGGACAAGAACGTTGAACAACAAAATGGAAACTGGGCAGGTATGTTGCAGATGCTAGTCTTTGGGATAAGGGGATATGCGGGTTTCCCAGAATTGAGGATACTTTTTGGGGGTCCCTACAATAAGGATTATCGTATATTGGGTCTATCTTGGAATCCCTTTATTTTGGGAAACTATCATATCACCTGGTGATGCCTTAGGTTTTTCCTACCTAGATCCGGCTTGCTTAAAGGTTCAAGAGCTGTTGGTTTTAGGCTCAGGTTTGACAGGTTGGGGCTTAGGGTCGAGGATGAATGGCTGCAGGATTTATAGGTTTCAGGTTTAAGGGTCAAGAGGGTTAGGGCTGAGGTATAAAGAGCTTTAGGGCGTGGAGTTTTGGAAGTATGGTTCCAAGGTCTAGGTCGGAATGGTCGGATAGTGTCCACCACTTATCACAGTCATATACTGGACCCTTGCTCAAGGTAATGATGAGAATGATACACTTACAGTCCGAAGACTGTTATAGGGTGGGAGCTATATCTATGGCTTACGGGTTTAGGTTGGAGTTGAGGACGGAGGGATTTGGCGTTGAAGGTTCTAGGGCTTCAAGGTTCGGAGGCTTAGCATGCAAGCCTAAGCCTAAGCGCCAACCCGCAAATGGCTGAGCACGATCCTGCCGACATACCCCATGTCAAAGCAGCGAGAAAATAGTCGTTGCCCTTGAAGGGAGCATGGTACGCGCGTTTCCCAACTGAATTTAAGGTGTGGGGTTAAGGCTGGAAACATCTGGTGAAGAAGATTCACTTGCTTCGTGGCATTGGCAAATTTCGGGACTTTGTCAAGACAACAGGAACTTCTCACCACGGAACCTCCTTGGCGAAACTTCACAAACCTCAACAATCAGAGATTGCAGAGCATTTCTGGTTCCGTTCTACTTCGCACGACAGGAGTAATTAACAGCCATAGAATTGATGACAGCATTGCTCATCAGTTATTTTAGAATGCAACAACTTAATCTTCGAGCCGACAGTGAGCCAGGCTCCTTCATACCCGTGGACATCACGGTGGGTGTCATCCGCACGGCCAGCGAGCCAACGTCGGGGTCAACCATCCTGGGATGGAGGCTTAAGGTTTGGGGTTCAGGGTTTAGGGTGTCAACACTTTTGAACAGCGAAATGAGATGCTGTTTGCTATGTTTCCCTCTTTGCACTTCTTGAGCCGGGGTAGTTTAGAAGAACAAACGTTTCAACTTTCTGGCTTCGACCTAGGCCCCGAACACCAAACTCCAACGCAGCCCTCTGTTTAGAGTTTTGCTCTGCTGCTGTCATCATCCAATCGCTTCTGCATGTGACATTCCGTACTAGAGAGGCCTGGACAACCGCTGGTATTTTTTGAGGCACCCTCAAATACAACACATGGCCAGGGATGGCAGGTGATAATGTTATTTACCGACATAAAAAAAACCCTACGCCCGCATGCGTAAACTCCTAAACCCTTTCAATAGGCTTCGAGACTGCTGCTACTACCGACGCTCTTCACAGGGCAGGCCTAAGGGACTCGACGAAAGGTGGACGGAGTAGGTTTGCCGAAATTGAGGAACCCCTCAGAACGGGGCGTTACGTAGCTGGAAATTACTGATACAAAAACAAGGGCATACGAAGGGTTGCTACTGGGATGTGTTTCCACATACCAAGCCCACCACTGAATTTACCTAGTGCTCGGTAGACAGTGAAGGAAAGAATTCCTGCCATGGTTCCAAGAAAACCTCCGTTGAACCTACCCCCTAAACCAGAATAACCATCTCTCAGCACGGGGCTCACACACTATGCTAGAGTTTTATGCATTCTCCAACTCCGAGGTCTCTGAAAGCAGACCCGTATACACCGCCATTGACTCTATCTCAACACCCAAGCCCTGCAATCCAGTTGCATTCCTAAACCCCCTATAAAACCAACATCCCCAACTGGCGGTAGGTCGGGAATAGAGGAATGGCTGTTTTTGTTGGTCCCCGTGCGAACCCTTATCATACTGTAAAGGACCGGTTCTTATGCTCCCTACCTACTAGCTACCAGAAAGTAAAGCTGAGCCCACTTCTGATCTCCACAACCAAGCCGCGTGCTCTGGAGCACTCCCTTGTTGCTATAGACCGGCAGACGTCGCCAGGCAATGCCAAAGGAGGCTTTGTTAGCCAAGCTGTTGACCAGGCCTTCCCCTTTTACCTCGGCTCGCTCTACGTGGAGCTTTAGGAGGTTAGCCACGTTTAGCTGGCACCGGATACATGGAGAACGCAGACCCCCAAGCTGTGTGAACATACTCTTGCATCTGGGAATGTCTCGTTGCAAATGCCAGGTTCATACTTGGTGGCCACTCCTTCATGCGAGGCGTGCCGCACAATAGCTGCTGTAAAGAAGACACCCCCGAAACTTAAAACAAAGTGTTCTTGATGTTGCTGAAAAAAGCACGGCATTCATAACGGTACCTTGCCATCTGAACACTCGCCTAACATCCATCATGAGACTACGCATGCCAACCGCCTGCTGATACAGCGTGCTTTTTCCACATCGGCCTTCAGGGAGCGTTGTGTAGATTCAAAAACCGCGTCTGTAAGGCGTAAACATGGCAGGTTGGAAAAGCTTTGGCCAAAGGAAGGGCTCAGGATAGTGTTCATCTTGCCCTTACCACAGGTGCCAGCCGGGACTCTCTGTACAGACATGTCTTTAGAGCTCGCTGATTGCAGAATCTGTAACAGCACGCCGCAAACTTTCAGTTTGATGGACATGCTCCTTCAGTTCACGCAATGTCGAACATATGTGGGCATGTGCTTCGTAGCGGCGAAGCAATTTCAACAACTGGACCACATGCTCGGAGTTGACTGTCTCCAAGACCTTCGCCTGGGAGACGCAAAGCAGGTCATTGACATCGTACATGTCTGCCAGCACCAAGATGCCTCCCCACAAGCTGGCGTCCGAGAGGTGTTCGCCTGACTGCTGTGTTACTCTAACTTATTCCGTAGGTCAAAGCCTATGCTGTCAACAATGGAGCAGAAGCACATCCTAAATTGAGTGCGAGTTGCCCACAGAACCCATGTAAAGAAAACGCAGGAAAGCCTCCACAGCGTCCTGTGAAGCATCACTCATCTCGAAGGTTCTGCTTGCAGACTCTCTCCACTCGACGTCCTCCCTGAAAGCTTTGGCAAGCACGGGGGATCTCAAGCTCAAAACACATCGATGTGCTTTCCACGATCTTCCTTGGCACTCTACCGTGCAGTCTGCGAAGGACTTGTCTTCCCGCAGCTGCGGCCGCCAATCATTGTTGCAAGAGAAGCCTGGGGCTGGGTGCTGATCGCTTCTGGTCAACAAAGGTTCCAGGCAAAACTCCAATCGCCTTGCACGATACGCACGCCGAGCCAGTACCGAAAGCTTACGGCATGTTTGCTCACACCAAATGCTACTCTCAGGAAGTAGAGGACAGCAAACGACGTTGACAACAGCATCAGCAAGGCTACGAGAAACAACGTGAATTGCCGAAAGATGCAGATGCCATCATCGAGAAAAACAAATGGCACTTCGGTCTTTAATGCGAGCCACTCAGCGTTGATATCAGAACTCAGAGATTCTTGCTGGCTTGACCATTCCCAACTACTGCAGCCGCAACTAGGGCCGGTCGTAAAATTCCACACCAAAATGACAAACTCGACAAGGACGCCCATGGTGGGAATCGCCGCGATCACCAACGGCAAGCTTTCTACTAGGAGCATCTCTGGCAGTCCCTTCCATGGACGTCCAGGGAAAGCATGCTCAGAACAGAACTTGATCGCGCAGCAGGACCACGCTACGGCAGCAGCAACCACCAGTTGCAGAAATAGCACACCCTTCAGCTCAAGAAGGAACCACATGATCCTTGCGCTATGTTGAGCAATGCTAGATCTGAAGTTTGTCCATGCCATAGTACCAGCTGCTGGAGCAGCTGTGCAAGTCACAGACACAAAGTGGCCAGCGGAGGAAAGGACGCTGATAATGATGAAGCCGACAAGGACGATGATGATAGATATGATGGCTAAACCAATGCCCAAAGCGGCGGCTTCATCCTCCCGCATCATGTCCCTAAGCGATGGGGCCGCAGAGCGAGGCGGAGGCAACGAACAACTACTGCACACTTCCTCAGATCTGGACGGCGGCGTATCCAGAGTTTGGCAATTGAGCACCCATAAATTCTGCCTGCACATAACTGTCCGGAAGGAAATTGCTAATGATTCCGGGAATTCCTTGTGCAATTGCAAGGACTACAGTTTCCTCTAGCCTGACTGATCATCGGAGGAAGTCCAGGTCTGGAGCCCCAGAGAATCCTCATAGCAAGGGTTTAAACGATTCACTAAGCTAAACCATCTATTGCAAGATCCAGAAGGTGGAATTTGGAAGGGGGCAGGCGGACCAGGAACTCCCAACAGTGCGTAGACACTCCCGAATCCTTGCAAGACTCCGCAAGGCCCAGGCGGTTGCCTTGTAACTCCATTTCAATAATTACCCGTATTCATAGTGGAGATTGTGCATCAAAGCTCCTGAGTAGCAAAACATGCAACTTGTGAACTTGAACCTTCCCATGCAGGGGTGTAAACAAGACTGACAAAGCAGAAGTAATTCCCAACAACGGGCATTCGAGTGCTACCTTGGTGACGACAACAAAGACTTTTTGTCCTGGCCTCAAGCCCCAGCAGATTGATAACGTAGGGGCCTAAATATTTTGAATACAGTTTTGCAGGCCAACAAGGATAATATTGGCAATTTTTCAGGCTTCCAGAGTACACTTCTCCCAGACAAAGCTGGACTGAAATGGCGCCCTAAAAAACACTGCTGCGCTTTGTCAAGGAGCCTATAGCCTATATCTGGTTTGCAGCTTAACCTTCGGTTTGGGGTTGAGGGTTTAGCGGACGATGAAGGAGGCTTCCCTGGACCAAGATCCGTCAATGATACAAATCCCTGCCAGTGCCAAACTGCATGCCCCCGACTTGATACCCTAAACCCTACATCCCCATGTCCCCATATCACACCTTCGAAGATCCCAATACGCCCCCTTTAAACACCCCATATTTTCCCAACTGAATCCACTTAAACATACCAGTCTCTTACTGTATCGCCATACAGCTTCCCCAAAAATGGGACCGAAATCATCTTGCCAGTGAACTCGAGGTTGGGTCGTGCGGATCACCGTGCGCTCACCGTGGCCAGTCAAGACCGAAGCAGTTTCTGTATTCCTCGAGTTGAGTTCAAAGTTTGGGCTGGGGGTTGTGGGGTTTTGGGAGGGCTGAAGGTATGGGATCTAGGGTGGAGGGCCTAAGGTGTGGGGGTTTCAGTGCAAATTGGGTTGGGGGACAACCGGCCTGAGGATCTTCAGTTCATGTCCTGGGTGTCGCAAGGGAGCAGATCTCCCTTTCTACCCTGCCAACTGTATGGAAAGCTGTCAAAGTCCCTTCTTGAGTAGCATTGATTTGGGGCTGCGTTTGAATTAAGCCACAGACACCATCATTTTGACAAGCCCCACACTATCCCTGTAAGGAACCCAAGGCAAAGACTTCTGATCTTTGCAAACCATTATGCAGGATTGGATTTTCAATCGAATGGCTCTTGCAAGCACTTAGGACACCTGCTAGCCTTTTGCACATTGAGCCACAAAAGGAGGCAATGGCTTAGGTCAGCACCTGCCTTACAGAGCCGTTCTCTCTGGGCTACAGCGCATCATCTTTGCTTTCCCAGGGCAATGTGAATCTGCAACCAAACCTCTGACTCAGAATCTCAAACCATATATGCCCGCCCCGTAGCTGAAAACACTCAAACTCAAAACAACCCTAAGTTTCAGCCCTACGGGTCCAGGTACCAGGTATGTACGTGGTATGCACCAGGGGCGTTCCATGTATACATGTAGGCACTTTGTGGACCAAGCACATGCATAAAGATACTACAACAACCCTTATTTGGGCGGTGCTTAGGCTTTAGAGGATTTCTGGCGAAGTAGAGGCCCCAGGTTCGCTGTCTTCCTGCGCCGAACCAGACTGTCTCGTTGCACGGAAACTCGGACCTTGTCCGAGAGTTGGGTTTAGGCTTGAGAGTACTTGATCAGGGTTTTGGCATTTCGGATTTAGGGTATGAGGGTGTCGGGTTTAGGGGCACACGCCTTGTACCGTGGGGCTTGTGACAAATGTCCGGACGTTTTTCTCCAGCACTCTTGCTTTGGCTCCTCGTTGGCTTGCATTCCGCATCACCTGATTGTTGAGGAAGTCTAGATGGGTTGTTCGCGCACCTGTGCATTGGGTTCTAGGTTCTGCCATGGTTTTCTGGCAATGCTGCTTTTGGACCTTGAACCTTAAGCTCTCAACATAACTCCAAGACTTTACCAAACCCTCAACCCCAAACATTAAGCCCTAAGCCCCAAACGCAAAAAACCCAAGTGTCAAACCCTCAGCCCTCAACCCCCAAACCCTCCCCGCTGACGGCGGCCTTTGGGGCGATGTTCAGCCAGTCGCCATTGGCTTCTGGCTTCGGAAATGGCGACTGCCACTGCGGCTCCTCCAGCAACGGCCTTGGCATACTGCTCCCTTGAAAGGGATTCAGGGTTCAGGGGTTCCATAAGGGAATGCAAGGATATGTGGGGATATATGGGGCTACAGGGGGTTTAGAACTCACTCATTCGGAACGGACAAGAAGATACCGTGTTTTTGACCGTCTAGGGTTACAAGTTTTGGGTGAGTAGTAGGGAGTGAAGATATGGCAACGAAAGTGGAAGCCGCTATATTGTCAAGGGTTTGGGTTTTAGGGTTAGTTACTCTGAGGTTCATGGAAAATCTCACCATGCTCATAACAATACCAAACCAAATAGAAGCACCCTCAGTACTCTACACGTAAACACTACTTCCCCAACATCGTTTTCTGAACGCAGTGGGATCCCAATAATGTAGACTACAATTCTGGGGTGCTGGCTTTCAAGGTAGACCTAGTGACCTTCCCCCTCTCTCTGCCATGGAGCTGGAAGCATCGGGGCGGCAACGAAGCTGAGTGGTTCAGCTTCCTCGTTTTAAGGTTCAGGGTTTTGGCAAAAGCTTCCAGGGCATAGGGCTTTGAGTTCCGTGGGCTTTGAGTTTTGGGATCTAGTTTAGGGCATGAAGGAATTCAGGGTGTAGTGGTTTAAGAATTTAGGGCTTAGGTGTTTTTCCCAGAATTTGGCCTTTTTACAGCTGACATCTCAAGGTTTAACTTGCTTTGATGAGCTAGGACCGGAATCATAGAACTTCATATATGACTAGAAGTGATGTTATGGGGCATTTCGGGCATTGCTAACCATTAAGCTAATTGCCAGTCCAGATGCGTAGGGCCTTGAGGCTGTAGGTAGGAGAAATAAGGCGGGATGTCTATTCTCCCTGGCGCTTAAACGGGAATGGCACCCTGGACTATTGTACAAGGACGACTGTGCGAATCTAGTCCCTCTTTCCCTACTTAGTGCCATTAAATCATTATGGTCCGACAAAAGGATCACGGTGACCAATGTCAAGCAGCCCTGCTTCTTAGGGTTTATAGGGCTTAGGCAAGGCAATCACCAACGCCCTCCATCTCTCAAGGCTTGGGGTTCAGGATGCATGGGAATTTCTCGAAGTTCCTCGGAGCTGCACATGCTTCATGCTCCAGGAACGCAGAAGCAGTGGTGCTAATTTCTCCTGGGCCCTACACCATATTCTAAAACTATGTCCCCTCAACCAAACTCAACACCACTATTCCGCTGTCACAGTGGCAGGTGCAGGGGCCGTGATTGTTTTGGATCATCGGAGAGAGACAACACAACGAAGATGCTCAGGTTTCCGTGAACTGCTGCTGATGGGGTCCTGCACTGTGATTTGAAGGCCACCATGGGGATACCATACGCATTATTCGAGGTCAGCTTTAAGGCGCCATGCTTCTCCGCATCTACTTCCACGAACTGCCATGTTATAGCGGGCCACAGTACAGCAAGGACAATAGTAGTCGTACTGGTCGTGGTATGAATATACATATATATATATACATGCTCCGAAGTGCAAACACTGAAGTGCAGATCCCATGGAGTTCTGCTTCTAGTTTTTTTAGAATTTGCAAGGGTGCCCACCGTGTAATTA